CAAAGCGTGTACCCGCATTTTTTCAGTGTCTAGTGTCGGTCAGACCTAACGATAGAAGACTATGGTTACGTCAGACTTGCAAATAATGAATCTTGAAGTTGCGTCCAGCGTGACAGCAACGTGCTGTGCACAGCAAACGAACCAGACAAATGAAGACTACGTACGAACGAAGATACATCAAGGAAACTTTCCCTTGCAGATAGTACCGCCTGATGATGCAGCTCACTCATACCATGTCTCGACGTCAGTGTACAGTAGGAACCGAAACGAGTTTTCAGAGTGCACATGCGCTTACATCTGGCAGACTCATTAAACAAGATACCAGTACATTTCCTACGCTCTCAGTCTTGGCTTATTTGACGCTAAAGCAAGAAAAAGAAACAAGTGAAAAATTCTGTCAGTACCCCTTAAAGGGGCCCCCAAAACACTTTTTCAAGTACATTTAATGAATTCACTGGAAGATCTTATTGTCTCACGAATTCAATGACAAACATTTCAAGAATCCGTTCAGTACGAGCGGTGTTTAAAGATTCCTTGCATGTGGCAATGGCATTCTCTCTTCTTGTCCCGACGAAAAGCGCTAGAAGCAGCAGGGAGAGATAGTATGAGGCAAAAAAAAAAAACTTCACGTGCGCCTAGCGATGTTGAGCATATTGTTTTTTTCGAATGCGCGGCCTTGTTAGCGTGATCGCATCGCGCGCACAAGTCTCGGCCTTTTGGGGCGATCTCTAACGACCGAGCGTGCCATGTTCAAATCGGCTAAAGGGTGATAGATGGGAATTTTACGAGAAATTTTTGAGCATCTGCCGTGATTGGTCAAGAGAAGAGAAAGCAATTGTTAGCAGACTGACAATTTGTGAATTCCAGGCCGCCTCCACTACCAATCAGCAGAGTTTTCTCACCATGCTCCAGAAGTGGTGCACGGCCCATTTAAAGATGAGCCTAGCCATGCAATAAATTGGCACATGAGTAGCAGAATCACCTCACAAGGAGTGTAAAACGAAGTAATGAACCTGACCAAAATAAGGAGGCAAAAGGTTGGCGTGACCGTATGGAAAACCTTAACAGACAATCCTGCCTGCGAGCAAAACATCAGTTAATTTTAAATTCGCACTAGAGATCGCATAGTACAGATACTGAACTGAGACATGTGCATCACGCTATAGAAGAAAATAGGCCTGTTCTATTCGGCGCCGCTCGTGAAGCAGTTCACGAGGTGTTGCACCTTATCATTCATTTCAGCGGTGCAGCATTGACCCCTGAACCCTGCCATTGATTTCGAAAGGTGCGGAAGATATGCACCACTGGTTCACGATTTTCCTGCACCTCCTACGTTGACAGTGCAAGCTTGGATCAGCCGCGCGTGCAGCTGAGCACACAGCGCAGCACTGAGGCGTAGGCGCCGTACCCGCCTCTACTAAGGCGGTGCCAGTCTGGCAACCACTTATGCAACGCCAAAAGGAACCTTGCCGTCGCGCCAACCCGCGTGAGGTGGCACCTATAGCCACAGTAACTTGACGTTCAGCACCGCCACTCGCTCAATCAGCCCATTAGATTCAGAAGGTTTTCCAATTTATGAATGTTCTAAACACGGTGCCAGAATCGCTGCGATATTTTTTGCTATAGCTTAGGGTACCCCTTTCCGTTACACGTAGCAAAAGTTTTCTATTTTCATTGGGAGCTGGTGAAACGGATGCGAAATAGTGGTTATAGGTTTTGGCATGCAACGCACCTCCGTGTGAGCCGATTTCTTCGTAGTATTAGGGCCGTGGGATTAACCTGCACCAATTAAAACCAGTTCACAGCTAAATGCGTGAAGTTCAAAAGTTGTGCAGTGCGAGACACCCGAAACTAATGACGTTCCGACAAGGTGCAGGCCTTACTTCTGTGCAACCTATGTCTCCGAGAATCCTCCGCCGTATTACGAATACGGCACCTCACTAGTACTATACACAGCAACAAAGGACGGTCAGGCACGCCCGGCTGATGACCTCTGGAGCGTAGAACAGGCGGACACTATCATGAACCAGGAAGTTCACCCGCAAGCGTCGTGAAACTAAACTACCTCCTCAAGAAATCTGCTATATTCAGCGACGCGATAAGACTAAACTTCGAAACGCGATCAAATAATTTATCCTAGGCTTGCTGAGCAACCAATCACGCCAAGGTTAGGCCTGTAAAGAGACAGTTGCCGGCTTAGCCGGCTACGACAGCACTTCGCACGTCCACTCCGATTATAGAAAACGAACACCCAATCGCTCTGCAGCGCAGCTAGTTCTTCAAACGCACTGACCTACGATCAGTGTGAATACACATATATTTCCAGCCACGTACAGCAAGTCGTGTTTTCGACCATGCCGGCGCTAGGCCTATGAGAGACGGCGCCAATCCACGCTACCCCGACGCGGTAAAATTTCCTGGACGCGCAAAAATAGGAAATCTAACCAAGCTCATCGCACATAAAAGCGTGTATTTAACTAACTAGTGGCGGAATACGCACTTACTTCAGGGTTGACAGTCCAAAGGAACGTCTACTTCGTCGTGATTAACGTACCCCCGTTATATTTCCGGCCACGTACAGCAAGTCGTGTTTTCGACCATGCCGGCGCTAGGCCTATGAGAGACGGCGCCAATCCAAGCTACCCCGACGCGGTAAAATTTCCTGGACGCGCAAAAATAGGAAATCTAACCAAGCTCATTGCACATAAAAGCGTGTATTTAACTAACTAGTGGCGGAATACGCACTTACTTCAGGGTTGACAGTCCAAAGGAACGTCTACTTCGGCGTGATTAACGTACGCCCGTAAACAAATGGGTCTGTAAAAGGTAGTGCGGCGAGATGCTTTATATAGGCACCCAGATCAGTCACGCAACCACAGTAATGTTTCAATAATCAGAGTTCACAAAAACGTTAGGTTGTATTTTTTATTTAAAACACCGTTAAGATATTTATGCAGCAAGAATGAGTTTGTTTAGAGTAATATACATGTCATTGTATTTGAAAAAATTGTGCACTCTTTCATCTAGCGCACTTGGTTGTGACAGCAGTGCTCCTACGTCACACATCGCATTCTTCCGCGTCGAATTGGCGCCGACGATGAACGAGAACAGAACATACAAAGAAACCTGTGGCGCCTGTGGGGTGGAGCGGGTAGAGTGCCTGGACGAAAGATGCTTCATTAGGTGTTCTCTGCTTTCATCTAGAACAGGTTACATCTATGGACCTTAGGTGCGGGTACATTGGACAAGGCGGCAACGCCCATAATTACGTTTGTCACGAACTGCGGGCTTGGTTTGAACGCAATGTAACGCCCTTCGCTGTCTTGAACGCCTTTCGATGGTCCATGCCAACCAGCCATGCCAGAAACGGCATGGCTGGTTTACGAAGTTGATATTTTAAATTTTGAAAATCACCTGGACAACCAGCTGCAATTTGGCTCGTCAAAATGTTTCCGTGCTTTAAGTTCGTTCAAAGGGATCAATATCCCATTCTTTATCTCAATTTAACGCGTTGCAGATTAGGTTAACTTTTTTTTTTTCTTGCTCACGTACTCGAGGCTGAAGGGTTCGTTTACAAATCAAGCCTATTGTTGTTGTTTTCCTGTGCACATGGCTCGTACCCAAAGAAGGGGATTGGCCGATTATAAGGTGAATTTGCCCTAAACTTTCGGCATTGCGTCATTCCTACAATTTTTTTTTTGTAACTTAATTTTGATTTGAAATACCGATATCAGGTTTGCAGAAAAAAAAAGAAGAAAAATAGTGAGACAGCAATTTAGCAAGAAAATCGTTTAGTCGCAGTGATGTATTCTTGAACGGCCAATAAAACATCCCTGTGGCTGATACCCAGTGTAGAGGCTCCAAATGAAAGATCAGGTTGTGATAGTTGCAAGCCCAGTCTTTGAAGAGGTGGTGCTAGTATGTTTTGCCTGAATAAATCGAAACGGCGACAATGTAATAAAAAATGACTGATCGTTTCCTCTTGATTACAGTAAATGCACATAGAGGAATTCAATATGCCTGATCTATGCAAGTAAAAATTTAGGGAGGTAACGCAGCAACGAAATCAAGCCTAGTTCCGACATGTACAAAATCCTCTACCTCCTGCAACTGGTGGTAGCCTCCCACCACATTGTACGTAGTGCGCGTGTACACCATGTTTGAAAATGTATCTATTGTAGATAAAGCAAAGGGAACTGCTTAGCACGTACCATATTTGCAAACTTACTCCGTAAAAATGTGTAAGCGCTGATTCAGAGGTTTTGTCCCGGAAACAGCGAGACTTCCTTGAACTAGCGTTGTACCCAAAATAACCTCCGGTCACTTCATATACCAGCTCCTGACGTCGAAACTAAAAGCACGTTTTCAAGCGTAAGGAAAATCTCTTTCAAAGTCTTTCACATAAAATAAACGTGTGTAAAGTACAAGGAAATGTTTTAGAACTTTCACATAGCTCTAATATTTGAATTTATTTTGAGAAATATAAGGAAACTGGAAAAACGGCACGCTATTTTCTGAAGCCCTCGTGGTCCACCAATGCTATTGAAACCAATCGTTGAACGTAACCGGGTCTCATCAAGGGGCTGTGTTGGCAAACAGTGTAAGGGTCTACAAGACAGGCACAGCGATACTCTAGGGTTCCTTTTGCACACGCTCTGTACATACTTGGAAGGTGGTGTTTTTATCAGATTCACCATCTATTAGTAGCCACCTCACTCATCCTGTGTTTCCCTTTTTTTTTCTTGAATATTTAGTAACATTTTACGCCTTGAAGCTAAGAGCAGCAATAGAAAAAAAAGTTCGCTGTCACAAACAAGCAGCCCCACAAATTCAGTTGCCTGGTCTATCCACGGCTACAAAAAACCAGAGCGCGGATCAAGACCCCCACCCACATACATGCTTTTCCTTGTCAAGACCACTGACAACTTCCATTCGACATGGCAGGAGCCACTCAATGGCGTGGACGGATACTAAGTGCTTCAATACGAAGAATCAACAGATCTCGGGCAATGACAACTGCTCTTTTATTCCATGGCCCCGAGCAGGCGGGCAAGGACGCCTTTCCTCAAAACTCCTCCCCACCATCATCTTCAGCACCCTCTGCAGAGTCGATGCCGACCTCCTCGTAGTCCTTCTCGAGGGCAGCCAAGTCCTCCCTGGCTTCGGAAAACTCTCCTTCCTCCATGCCTTCGCCGACATACCAGTGGACAAATGCCCGCTTGGCATACATGAGGTCGAACTTGTGGTCGAGACGTGCCCAAGCCTCTGCTATGGCTGTTGTGTTTGACAGCATGCACACAGCACGCTGGACCTTGGCGAGGTCGCCACCGGGTACAACAGTCGGGGGCTGGTAGTTGATGCCAACCTGCAATACGAATCGGGTGTAGCGATTGAACACCCAAGAACGCACAAAGCCACAATAGCACATTGTAAACACAAGCTATGTTTGAAGAAAAGCCACTGCTCACACACAAAACCACTAGGAATTCTACAAGTCTTGTTTTAACTCGCTAGCATTTGAGAGAGGGATCAAAATGAAGTTGTGCAGCAACGAAAGACCAAAAAATTAAGTTTGATACCGAACTCCCTGAAGAGATTCGCATCTTTACAACGAATTCTAAGCCAGCCAAAAAAAAGAAAAATGAATGAGGGGCTTTTTTGTTCTTTACTTTCAGTTTGCACTACAATTTGTTATGTGAAGTCCTACTCCAAAATACACAAATAACATCTACGTAACGTGGCAATATTGTTGGTTCTTATTAATACATAGTCCCTTTAGAACTTCCTGGTCCTCTCAATTACGCAAGGCACGACGCACAAGGTAGCACCAAACTTACCTTAAATCCAGTAGGGCACCAGTCCACAAACTGGATCGTGCGCTTGGTCTTGATGGCCGCAATGGCTGCATTTACGTCCTTAGGCACAACATCCCCTCGGTACAGGAGACAGCAGGCCATGTACTTTCCGTGACGGGGGTCACACTTGACCATCTGGTTGGCAGGCTCAAAGCAGGCGTTTGTGATTTCAGCAACAGTGAGCTGCTCATGGTAGGCCTTCTCGGCAGAGATGACAGGAGCATAGGTGACGAGGGGGAAGTGGATGCGAGGGTAGGGCACCAAGTTGGTCTGGAACTCCGTCAGGTCGACGTTCAGGGCACCATCGAACCGCAGAGAGGCAGTGATAGAGGAAACGATCTGGCCGATGAGCCGGTTGAGATTCGTGTAGGTGGGCCTTTCAATGTCGAGGTTTCGCCGGCATATGTCATAGATTGCCTCGTTGTCGACCATGAAAGCACAGTCTGAATGCTCGAGAGTGGTGTGAGTGGTGAGAATGGAGTTGTAGGGTTCCACGACTGCTGTGGAGACCTGCGATGAGAAGAGGTGGCCAGACACTTCACTTCAAACCCTACTGACCATGTCAAATACATTGAGCCAATAGCTGCCATTGTAAAGGGCACTCCTTGACTAGACCAGTGCTCTACTGAAGTATTGGCAGGATCAGAACAAAGTGGCATTAGAACAGCTACGCCTTGTGTGAACCAATAATAACCGAGAGGCAACAGATGGCAGCAGACGTGAATTTAACAAGAACTGCCAATTGGCACAGCATGCAATAGATGAGCATTTACAAAGCGGTGCGAGAAGGTGATGTCTCCTGCATGGTCTCTCCCCGGTGTACTCGTCTTATGGGACTACACGAAGAACAGGAATATGCAGGAGTGCAGCCCACGCCAGCGACATGACTGGGGACAGGTATGCTGTCAGACACACTGGCGAGGACAACTGACATGAAGCAGCTCCTGGGCCAACAGGATTAGCCAGCAACCGAGCCAGAAAGCCGGGCAGCCGACACCTCCATAGTGTCTGGGTACTCTACGCGCAAACTACAGCACAAAAGGGAGGCTATAGAAAGTAAGTACCTGTGGGGCTGGGTAGATGGCAAACTCGAGCTTGGACTTCTTGCCGTAGTCCACCGAGAGGCGCTCCATGAGAAGCGAGGTGAAGCCCGAGCCGGTGCCACCTCCAAAGCTGTGAAAGATGAGGAAGCCCTGCAGTCCCGTGCACTGGTCTGCCAGCTTCCTGATCCGGTCCAGCACCAGATCCACAATCTCCTTGCCGATCGTGTAGTGGCCGCGAGCATAGTTGTTTGCTGCATCCTCCTTGCCAGTGATCAGCTGCTCGGGGTGGAACAGCTGCCTGCAGCAGTCAACAAGACAATACAAGTCGTGAGTGCCGTGCCAAGAGTTGTTAGCCACATCAACTGCACAAACTAGGGCTGGTACTTTGGCAACTGCAGTGAACAGCCACAGAGGCATGCTTTATACCAAATAGCATATTAAACTTACCTTGTCGCAAGCCACATTAAGAATTATGGAATTACAGTGCACCCTAAACTGACCCGACCTTTACTCTGAAGCACAACCCGGACTATGCGTAGTGTATATTCCAAGTGACATTTGTAATATGCATGCATTTTGATAAGTACACAGTTGTATTCCGAGCGGTCTAGAGTGGCCAGTTTGTTTCCGTTCCGATAATATGCAGATAGGCTCTATAAATGACAGCAAACTGTGCACTATTGCTCAAACAAAAAGAGGCTTGTAGCAGCTGTGGGCTATGCCAGTGTTCATATCCAAATGCTCTACCACTCTACAGAAGAGATACGAATGTGTCAATGTACAAAAATGGGCTGAAGTTTGTTGACCAACATTAAAATCCTGCAAAGCGGCTACCGTCAGCGACAGACCTACTGAAGCTGGGCGATCGAAAGAAATCGCTGCACACCTGTAGGTGCCGGTACGGACTTCGTCGACAACCGTGGGTTCGAGGTCGACGTATACAGCGCGGGGCACGTGCTTGCCGGCTCCGGTCTCGCTGAAGAATGTGTTGAAGGAGTCGTCGCCTCCGCCGATCGTCTTGTCACTGGGCATCTGGCCGTCAGGCTGAATGCCATGCTCCAGGCAGTAGAGCTCCCAGCAGGCATTGCCGATCTGGACGCCCGCTTGTCCAACGTGAACAGATATGCACTCACGCATTTTCACCGGTTAGCTGAGAGACAAAGAAACAGGCACGTCAGCAGGCACTGACAACAACCTTAGAGGCAAAAAGTTGCGCACATTTATTGACAGGCCAGCACTGATCCAGACGAATGGGAGACTCGTAACACCTTATTAACTCCAAAATTTTAATTTCGTCATGCACCTACGCCTAGATACTGACATACACACTGGGCAATGAAGCACATCACTACAGGAAATTGCAAGTGGAAATCCCGCGTCAAGTTCACCGGAGCTAAGCATATTTACGACTTGCAGGTACAAACCATTCAAATTTAAATCGCATCGCTCATTTGGCAAAGCATATGACTAAGTTGTAACCACGCTCCCAGGAAGCAAAATTCCAAGTTCGGCTCTCGGCGATGTTAACGAATCGGACACCTGTACACCGCATGGTCTTTCCCCAGTGCCATTGCCCAGAAGGACGGGCACGAAGATCAGGAATATGCGGGACCACCGCCCACGCCCGACGCTAGCGCCAGGGGACGGCAGTTCATGTTCGACACCGTGGCTGTGGACCGACTGCCAGCGCAGGGCAGCTCCGGAGGCCACGCCCGAGAGCGGGAGCGAAGCGCCACGCAAAGCAGCAACTCCTCTCAACCGCGCCTCGATATGTCGGTTATCACAACTCACCACCACTATCATCACTACCTAACCGCAGTGCAAGCGACTGTCTCCGACTACCAAGACGAGACTCCGACATGCGAACGAGCGCGTGAGAACCGCTGACGTGGATGCACACCGGCTTCCCAAAAGGATGCTAACAAGGCCTCGGCCTGGAAACTGTTCCGCAGCAGGCACCCTCACTCCTCAAAGCCGGTTTCGGAAGACGCGCCGCCCAACAACCCTCACAATACACAGCCGCAACGAACGGTCAGGCACGCCGGCTGACGACCGTTAGAGCGAGACGACGCCATGATGAATTTTGCAGATGTTTAACTAGCCGGGCGGGGCCGGGAGGAAAATGTTGATCCCACAGGCGAACTACCTCCGCAAGCAAACTGTTTAGTTCAGTAACGCAGTCAGTTTAACCATTGGCTTAACTTCCAAACTAGATTAATTACGCCACGCCCACTTAGCAACCAATCGCACCAAAATTAGGCCTACGAGGAGACATTTGCCGGCTACGACAGGACTTCGAATACATTCGCTCCGATTACAGTAAGTAAAAACCCACTCACTCTGCACCGCAGCTTGTTCTCAGTAGATTCGAAGGTACTTATCGATTCGTATAAATATTATTGAAGTTTCCGACCATGCCGGCGCTAGGCTTACGAGAGCCGACAGCGCAATCCAAGCTATCGCGACACGGCGACATTTCCTGGATTACGCGCGGCAAGAATAGATACTTTCAACAAACTTATCGCACATAAAAGCGCCTCTAAAACCAACTTATAAATAAATAAATACATACTTGATGGGTTTACGGCCCAAAGCAACGTTTACTTCGACGTGGACAAAGTGCGCCCGTAAACTGCTGGGTCTGAGAAAGTAGTGCGGAAAAATGCCTTATATAGGCATCCCAAAATGCCGCGCAAGCGCGGTATTTTTTCAGTAATTATAGCTCACAGTAAGATTAAGTTGAGTTTATTTTATTTCAAACAATGTCAATAAAAATTTTGCAAGCAAGAATGCGTTTTTTATAGCAGGATGTGCTTTTTTTACTTTGATAAACTGCGCACTCTTTCTTATAGCGCACTCGGTAGTGACAGCAGGTAACGGCGCTCTATGAGGAAGTTGTGCAGCGCTCCTCACATTCTTCCGCGGCAAATTGGCGTGACGATGAATGAGAAATAAAAAAAAAGTACAAAGAAACCTGTGGGGTGGTGCGGGCGCATACGGCGCATAGGCCAAAGCGGCAACGCCCAAACTTCGTGTGTAGCGAAACTGCGGGCTCGCCCTTCGCTGTCTTTAACGCCTCTCGATAGTGCTCGTCATTCAAAAAACGTTAATTCCGCCATTATCATATACAATTGTGCGCGCTTAATAATAGACATCTGCGATTGGCGTACGAATAAACAGATGCAGTTAAATGCGCTTATTTACAGATGCTTGATATATGTTCTGTACTTCGGGGCAAAAGTCGGTGTTTCTAATCATTTATTGTACGCACACGATGAAATACTTTACACTTCTGAAGACATGCCGGCAAGCGCAACACGTGTGGTCTTATACTAGCCATTCATGAGGTAATTCAACTTTTGAAGCGTTGAGCTTGGAAATGTGAAGAAAAAGAACTGGTTCTCTGCCAGCGGGAAGGCTGTAGAGAAAAAATTCTAGTTGGTGGCTTCAATTCTCACCATACATGCTGTGGTTTTAGGACAGATCAATGTGGCCAACGGTTGTTCGTTAGACAACAATTTATTGTGCCTCAGCAGCACATACACACATGGGGCCCTAATGCACCATCTCTACCCAACGATATATAGCTCTATGTGCCCGCTTTGCAACGTACCGGACACCCTGGCGCACTTGCTTCTTGCATGCCAGTGTATTGCCAGATGTAATCTGCAACAACACATGACTGATAACGAAGCAGGACGGACGAACTAAGACCTAAACGAAACGTGGGAGGCGAAGCTCGCCCTCGAGGACCTGGAAGAGCAACAACAACTCGTCGCCAGGGCCAAAAGGGCAGTAGAAGCCAGAGGGTTCCTGGACTAAGAAGCCCTCCCACCTCAGGGTGACACCGGGCATTGCTCGGGGCACTGTTTCAAAATAAACGTTTACTTCTCTTCTCTCTATTGTGCCTCAACGCTAGAACTCTCACATTTATTCGAGGTCGTTCACGCTGCGCCTTAGACTTAAGCTTTGTAAGCTCGGCTATTGCTAGTACATCATGGACAGCCCTTGATTGCGCCTCCAACAGTGACCACTTTCCTATAATGTTCAAGATCACTTGCCCCGTTAAACCATCATGTTCAATTCCCAAACCCGGATCTTCATAAATTATCCAAAATTTAAACACGACCTAAAAGCTGCTTTAGACTCTCCTCAAGATGGTGATGACACTATAGCTATGACATTAGGCGCAGTAATTAAGAGAGCATAAAAAAAAAAGCTGGATTTGCTGTTCAATCGGCGAAAAGAGTACAACGGCAGGCAGCTTGGGAGAAGATAATACATAATATGAGTCCCCTAAGAACAGGCCCAATGATAAATTTCTTGCCGATCGCACGGTGGCCCAAGCTAAAGAATAATATGATAACAGACATTTCGATTTTCTCTCGAAGCCTAAAAATAAGAAAGCTTTATTTCGATATATGCGATCTCGCAAAATCCTGCCGTCTACAATAAATACTGATTATGAAAGGTTATCAGCAGAAGAAACGACGAACTCTTTAGTGTCAATTGGCGGAGGTCTAGAAATTAGGCTTTCTTCGACTATGGCTTTCAACTGGCAAAAGTGTAACATACGCGCTGACTTCGAAAACGTAACGCTATCCGAAGCATCAAAAGTGATTCGAGAATTACCCTCGTCAGCTTCTGGTCCTGATGAAGTCACAGTTCCTATGATAAAATTTTATTCAAGCTATCACCCGGCGAAGTCCTCAATCTTGTAAACTATTCTTTAAAGAACGCCTTGATACCGCATGACTTCAAAATGGCTAAGGTAATTCCATTAATAAAAAACGGAAGGATTAGGTTTTAGCATAGAAAATATCAGACCCATCTCGCTAACTTTTAACATGATGAAACTCATAGAAAGGGTCCTAAATGGCCGAATAAACGCTTGGATGACAAATAAGTCAATATTAAAGCCAACCCAGATTGGTTTTCGCAGTGAATGTTCAATTTGGTGTGCCCATGCGGATTTAGAGAGTCGAATACAGCTTGCTCGTAAAAGAAAACAATACGCCGCTTTAGTAACTCAGGAGATAGCTAAAGCGTATGACAGTGTCGAGCACTCCGTTATACTGAACAACCTACAGAGTCTAAATTTTTCTCATTATATTATTGAGTAGATAGCAGAATTCTTAAAACCAAGAGAATTTTATTACGTGAAGGATGGATGTTGTTCGCATAAATTCAAGCAGAAACATGGTGCTCCCCAAGGCTCCGTTCTATCTCCAAACAAACAATGCTAATTGGAAACCCAGTAGCTATACCCCGGTTTATCGATAAAGATAACGCAACGTATCTCTGTTAAGGTGAGGTTTAAGGATGAGAGAGAACAACCTTATTAAATATAAATGAACCACAGTACAGGTTCGCCACTAACGAAAAAACAACAACAAAAAACAGGAATGATGATCAGGCGGAAGTCCAGCCACTCCTCCAGGGTCGCAGGTTTCAGATTTGTATGGGAAGGCAAATCTAAACTGTTATTTAGCAAACCTGAAAACGCTTATTTACATACCCTTTTACAGGGTAGCAAACCAGTTTTTTTAAGGTTCCTGTCCCTTCCTTTTATTTATCTCTCACTCACATAGCAAGCACACCGAGTTTTATCGATTTTATCGTGTTAAATCTACCTTCACGTACTAGGTACAAACCTACTAGGTACAAAAATTAAGCACGAGGCGGGTACAGGGCACATCGCAGAGATCGCATCGCCGATCATGATTCTAAAATTATTCTGTACGGAGGTGCAACTGGTTAAAATGTTTCTACGCTAAAAGTTTATTCGTAGAGACGATATTGCACTATTTCGTATCTCATTTCGATACGTTGCATAATGGATAAGCAGTCACTACATCATCGCTTTATTTTATTCTTAGGTTTAGGAGACGAGAGCTGTGAGAAAGAATAAAAAGCCGGCTGCCGGAAAAGCAGACGGGATGCTCCGTAGAAACCGGATGGATGCCTTGGGCCAAAGCAGCCACGGTTGCCGAAAACACCGCCGGCGACGGAATATTTTGTTGCTGTTTGCGTTTCCCTGGCAACGGTCAAGCTTGCCGCGCTGGTTTGCGTCACCCCGACGTCCCGCCGACGCACCCTCCCCCGGTCTCTTACCACTCTCAGTCGCCATAACTTGCTTTTTTTAGAGTGCACTTAGATCAAACACCGGCTAAGCAAGAAAACACCTATGACTATAGCTAGGCTATGCTTGAAGAACGGTTCCACTGGATTTTTAAAAAAAGGGACATGCATAGAAGGGGCGTAGCCAGTTTGAGAGGGGGGAGGTCATTCAACCATATATGCTATTTGTGTGTTCTAATGTGCGCAAACAAATTTTGAAAATTGGGCGAGTGGGTTGAACTCTCCTCCACCGGCTACCCCAATGATGTAAAAGGGCCAGCTACATGCACAGGCTCTGTGCATTCATTGAGGTCAGACACGTATTGTTTGTTCGCACAGTGAGTCCCAGTCCATCTCGCCCTACATAGTCTCAAGGAAGTGCCCTTACACACCTGTAGCACGGTAGACGTGGTACGGTAGTACCATAGAATAAAGAACCTTATTACCATACCGTAGTACACTCAGTAAACGCCTACTGTGAGTCATATAAACAGGCCGACGCCTATGCATCGATTGCAGCGATGCTTGTCGAGCTTCAAAAAAAAACAAAAACAATATTAACATTAAAACTTCATCAGGCGTGAGGTTTTGTCTGCAAAAAAACAAGCAAGCAACAGAACATTTTTATAGTTTTCAACGACGTTTCATGGAAACCACAGAACACAAAGCTGAACAAAGCGTGGACAATGTTGTAAAAGACGTTGCTGTGGAACAAAGTCGTATGGACGCCCACAAACAATGAGCAAGTGAACATGGCGGCGCCCTGTGCGAAATGCGGCGAAATGGAAACGAGAGTTCTGTCGTCAAGCTGGCGTGCATAGGTAGGTAGGTGTTCTCTGTTTAGCATAGGATATGGTGTCAGTACAACTCGGTGATGAAAAATACGCGCTTTATTTTCTTCCTCAACAAAGTTGACAGAGCTTCGTGGAGAGCCAACAATCATGGCAATCGAGCCCCTCGTGATGCTCGGCGGCAGGAAAGACGACGACAGATCGCTCCTGCGTGTACCGCAAAACACACTCGTCGCTCTGTTTACGTTCGCCTACTGTGAGATAGAAGACCTGCGCATCGTCTTGGTGCCACGCGAGCCAGCCAGCGATGGCGGTAGTGACTGTAACGACAATCCACTCTTCGATTTGCCTCTCAGCGTTCTTTCGAAACTCAAGTGCTTCGAGACTAGCGATGGCTCACCTACGCCGCAAGAACTACTCGACTGCGAACCTCCGGCTGTCTATCTACCCGACAATACTACCGCGACTTGCATCGGCGGGCTCGCGGGTGTCCTCCGATGGGCGCTGGGTCAGTTTGGGAGTCGAACCCGGAACCGCGAGTGCAAGGCACTGCTGGGTTTCCGCGGCGGTTGCCTCGCAGCCTGCTCCGAGTCTTCTCTCTGGACTCGCTTCTGCGAACTGGACGTACAGAGGGCCCTTCCGAAGCTTCGGAAGCGCTTCTCTGCTGGTAGCGGGTTCGAATCTCCGCCGCTGAAGCTTCCCGAAGAACTTCACCTTCTCGAGGCCCACATGCGACAGCCTGTGAAGACGCACAATGTCCGGAGGAAACAGCAGCAAGTGTTTCGGGCGTCACGTCGTGAAGGAGGCGGCTCGCCCGTGGAGCATAAGCCGGTTGATGGAAAACTGCCTCTACTGGAACACAGATTCGTCGAGGGTTTCGACCAGACACTGGCCGACGTAGTGCTTTTTCCCGTCCTTCACCTCATATTCACCGAGTTGGCAGCTGTTACGAGTAAGAAGGCAATATCCGTAAGGCTGCCTCTCACTACCAAGTGGTACGAAACGATGTCTGCACAGATACAGACTCACCGTGCCTTGGAATCTTTGGAACTGAAGCACATCGAGCAGGTCGAGCGAGAAGAGTGCAGCAGGTTCATAGAAGAGTTCGAGCTCCCGAAGGACAGCCTCTACTCGTCTCATCCAGAACGCACAAAGCCTCGTATTCGGCACAAGAACCCTGAGTCGATCATTAACTCCCTCAGGGAGGCCCGCATATCACCAGACTTGAAGCCGAACCCCGGCAAAGACTCCCTTCCCCTTCCCTGGGAGGAGTTTCCAGAAAAAGTGCACCCTCTTGGTGGAGGTCTTCCAAAAAACAGGGTCCTGCGCAAGTGTCAGCAGATTGAGAACCTCGTAGTGTTGGCTCTGCAAAACGCCTTTGATGGCTGCACGATTGTCGACTTCTGTTCAGGAGGAGGCCACGTGGGCATTGTCCTGGCTTACCTGCTACCGGAATGCCGGATCGTAATGATTGAAAACAAGGAAGAGTCGATGCATCGTGCTCGGGAGAGGGTGAAGTCTCTGGGCCTGCGAAATGTTGTCTTTTATCAAAGCAATATAGACTACTACGTGGGTAATTTTGACTTGGGAGTCTCTCTGCATGCTTGCGGCGTTGCCACGGACTTGGTCTTGCAGAAGTGTATCGAACGCAATGCGGCGTTCGTGTCGTGTCCCTGTTGCTACGGTGCCATGAAAGTGACAGACCGAATCAGCTATCCCCTCAGTCGTGCTTTTAGGGATACGGGCATCTCGAAGGAGGACTACACGTTGCTGTGCCACTACGCTGACCGAACTGAGCGCGACACGCCTACATGCCAGCAGGGCCATTATTGCATGGCTCTGGTAGACAGAGACCGGGCTATGTGTGCGGCCGAGAGTGGCTACGAAGTAATTGTGACGCAGATGGTACCGCATGATTGCTCGCCCAAGGGACTCGTTTTAGTTGGCAAACGGACATCTAAAGTGCGCTGAAGTTGAAGATTCTTATTACCTGTTTTCAGGCGCACATGGCAAAACTTTCAGTGCACTAAAATAGACAGGCATGAAGATAGTAAAGACAGGACGATGCGCTTAATTTTCCCTTCACTTTCTTCGAAGCACATCGTCCCATCTTTACTTCTTCCGTCTATGTCCTTCTTGGTGTGCTGCAAGTTTTGTAAGTTTTGCCAACCACCAATGAGCTCATTCTTACATACTTCCAAGTTTCAGTTATAAAGCTGTCATTGCATCCTCTTAGTGTGAATGGGCTTAGTAAGTATAGACGGATTGCATGAAATAAGTCTATTTTGGTAATTTGCATTTGCCTGCCAATTCACAATACTGCAACTGCAGCTGCTACTGTCTCGAGAAAAAGCCATCCAGTGAAGAAAAGTCAGATGAATTAAAGAGAGTTTGATAAACACCACTTATGTTACTACATGTTGAAAGCAAATAATATTTCTAAGATGAAGTCTATATTTAACGTTTGTGGCCATGTCTTGCTCAATCGTGACCATAGTCAAGATTCATGCTAATTTGCTAGTAACACATAGGCAGTGATATTATATGGTTTGGTTCTGTCTCTTAAAATATTTATGTGTGGGTGAGAGCAATGCAGAACTATCGATAACAATATCGATAGAGCTATTGATAGTTTGATTGTTGAGTATTGATGGTATAAAAACAATCATATGAACTCATTGCAGTATACGCCTTGTTTCTCAGGTATGTGGTAAATGGTGGAGCAGGATGAGCAGGCTGTAGAGCAAACAAGTTTACATGCTCGTGTTCTTTGACCAGAATGCTTCACTGACACATGATAATTTAATTGAACTGCACATCTGTAGCAGAAAGGAATCCATGATGTATGTAATATGATGGAACTGCATGGGGCTTTAAATCTATATAGTATTTTGTTATTTAAAAGTAAAAATATGGAATAGTAATTGTTGGGATTTTACATACCGACATAAAAAAAACTAAATTTTTTATTTGTAGAAGGTAACTGATTGCTTTTTAATATGAACATTTTAAATAGATATTATCCTACATTTTCGTCCTGGATGTAGTTTATTTCTTTTGCCAAAATATTCGTCATAATCGAACTGAGTATTGCTGATAGTTGGCTCCCATCAATGCTTTCGCAATGTCACAGGCCAACAATGACATAATTATTCACAGGACTATCAACAGTATTAACTTTGATAATGCCATCAATGGTACTATTGATTACACTATCAGTAATACTATTGATAGTTCGTCAGTTGAAGTACTATCAGTAGTTTTAAAGGAAATATTCAAGCTTTTGGTAGTCCGTTTACCGATAGTTCTGCATCACTAGTGGGTGTTCATTTCTCAGGATAACTTAGCATTTTTCTTTAATGATGCAAAGTTACTTGATGTTTGCATCACTTGAATATTTACATAAAGTATGATGCCACCATATCTGATCCAGTGTCAAAAATACAAAGCGATTGATGGTTGTGTTGATTAATTTTTTGAGCTGAAAATCTCAAGCGACACAGCAAAATGCAAGAACGCCTCTGGTGAATGGCTGCAGAATTATTGTGAGAAGTTGTAGTTCATCAGATGCACATTAACTTCAATATTATGACGACTCGGTTGTAACGAGGTTTATTCGTCATGAACTCGGGAACGAACAAGCGCAACGGACCCGACAAAGAAGCGCTCGTGCCAAGAAGATGATGATTGTCAGCCAGAACATATGATGATGATTAACTGCTGTTCAGATGAGGATGAAGCGCATAATAGATGCCTACACTGATTCCCCGCCCGTGAAAGCGGCCAGCCTGGCTGCTGCGGGCGGGTAGTCAAGGTGACGAGGAACGTCGTGTGAAAAGCTTCATGCGGGAAATGTGTACAATTTTGGTGCTGCGGTAACGGCGGTCAGTTGGCACGTCAAGAGGCGTCACACGATAGTTGACAGGTGAAGTCTGCTCTAAAACAATATATGGGCCGATGAATCGAGGCTGGAACTTGTCGCAGGGACCAGGTGTGCGAATTGGTGTCAATAGCAGCACCTCGTCACCCGGTCGGAATGATACCACCTTATAAGAGGTGTCGTAGACGGCCTTCCTTGCTTGTTGCGTAGCTTCCGTGTTCATACGAGCGCGCTGGCGGCACTGGGCAAGGCGAGAAATATCTTCTTCGCAAGAAGATGGTGATGTAGGGCCATTGCTGGTGAAGAAGGAAACATCGATAAAGAAAGTAGGTGAACATCCGTAAACCAGATAAAACGGTGAGTAGCCGGTTGTGCGCTGAACAGCGGTGTTGTAGGCGAAAGTGAGGAACGGTAGAAGTTTATCCCAGTTTCTGTGATCCGGTTGAATGTATACGGCGATCATGTCGGCAAGGGTTCGATGAAATCTCTCGGTCAGACCGTTTGTTTGAGGATGGTAGCTAGACGCCATCTTGTGTGTGGTACCAGAAACGCGAAGAACTTCACCTAAAAGCTGTGATAAGAACACCTTGCCACGGTCACTCAGAAGTACACGAGGAGCACCATGACGTAGTATTATGGCCTGAAGGACGAAGTCAGCAACTTCCGATGCTGAACCAGTAGCTACTGAAGTTGTCTCGGCGTAGCGTGTCATATGGTCTACGGCGGTGACTATCCATCTATTTCCAGCACCAGTAACAGGAAGGGGTCCATAAAGATCGACACCGACGACCTCGAAAGGTGTTGTAGGGCACGTCATTGGCTGTAACTGACCAGCCGGGGGAGATGTCGGAAGTTTGCGAAGTTGGCATGGAGAGCAGGAACCTACGTACTTTGCTACGCTGGTAGAAATCCCAGGCCAATAAAAGCGGCTTCGAATGCGGTCGTAGGTTTTGTGAAAGCCTAGGTGGCCAGCAGTCAAATCGTCATGAAAGGCGTTAAGTACATGATGTTGAAGAGCGCGTGGCAGAACAGGTACCCAGCGTTGGCCATCAGGATGATATATGTGACGATACAGCACACCGTCCTGAAACTTGAAGTGCTCGAGTTGTCGACGAAGGCATGTATTGGGTGGACGCGTAGCTCCTGAAAGGTGGTCTATAATGCGCCGACAATACGGGTCAGCCTGCTGGCGAGAACTGAAGGGTTGTTCATCGTCGATTGGCGATTGGTACAGCGAGGCGAGCAAGGCAACAGAAGTGGGAGTCACGTCCGCACTGGTGTCGTTGGAGGTGGCAGCTGGAGTGTCGAACGATGCCGTAGGTAGTGGGCAACGAGAAAGAGCGTCGGCGTCTTGATGTTTTTTGCCCGATTTATAAATAATCTCAAACTGATACTCCTGTAGGCGTAAAATCCAACGACCCAAATGTCCGGACAAGTTCTTCATTGTAGAAAGCCAGCATAAGGTGTGGTGGTCCGTTACGATGGTGAATTGACGGCCGTACAGATAAGGACGGAATTTTTGTATGGACCAAACCACAGCGAGGCACTCCTGCTCAGTGATGGTATAGTTTTTTTCGGTAGAAGTTAGCACTCGGCTAGCATATGCGATGACCCTTTCCCGTCCAGAGTTATCGCGTTGGAGGAGAACAGCACCTATACCGCAGCCGCTGGCGTCGGTATGCAGGAGTGTTGGGGTGGTGTCATCAAAATGGCAGAGTACAGGCTCTGACGTCAAAGCTTTCTTCAATAGGTGAAACGCCGACTGACATTTCTCGGACCACACAAAGGGTGCATTAGATGCAAGTAGTTTGTGAAGTGGTGCAGCTATTGAAGCGAAATTTCGTATGAAGCGACGAAAATATGATGCGAGGCCAAGAAAACTTCGCAAATCCTTAAGTCTTGTGGGGCATGGAAATCGAAGGACGGCAGCGATCTTTTCGGGGTCAGGGCGAATACCGTCCTTGCTGACGACATGACCGAGAATCTTGATGGATTTGGTGGCGAAACGGCACTTCTTAGTGTTGAGCTGCAGACCCGCACCGGCGAGGCATGTTAGGACGTCATCCAAGCGGCTAAGGTGCTGAGAAAACGTTGATGAAAAGATGATAATGTCATCAAGGTAGCAGAGACACGTCTTCCATTTCAGACCACGCAGGACGGTGTCGATCATGCGTTCAAACGTCGCGGGCGCATTGCAGAGCCCGAAAGGCATCACGTTAAATTCGTATAGGCCATCGGGGGTTGCAAATGCCGTTTTTTCTTTGTCGTCATCGTGCATGGGAATTTGCCAATATCCCGAACGCAAATCAAGGCTTGAAAAGTATTCGGCGCCTTGCAGTGAATCAAGGACATCGTCGATGCGTGGCATGGGGTATACGTCCTTGCGTGTGATGTTGTTAAGTGCCCGGTAATCAACGCAAAAGCGCACGGAGCCATCTTTTTTTCGTACCAAAACAACAGGGGATGACCAAGGGCTAGTTGATGGACGAATTATTTCTCGTTGGAGCATGTCAGCGACGTTTTCCTCGATGATTTTTCGCTCAGCGAGAGACACGCGGTACGGGCGGCGATGTACAATAGATGTTCCCTCCGTCTGAATGCGATGCGCTGCAGTGGTAGTTCGGCCCAACGTTGAGGAGCAGGTGTCGAAAGAATCGGCGTGTTTCGTTAATAACGCAAGCAACTGCTGCGCCTGCATAGCTGTTAAGTCATCACTGATAAGAGCTGTGAAGGGAGAGGCACAATATATACATATATACAATATATACATACAATATATGCCTACAATATATACATGCAAATGTTTCTGTATTCTGACCACAATAACCAGAAATTTAACTCACGATTTGCGTTCATGATAGCCGTGGGATGGCATTTCAGTCTGCAAAAGGTTTTCACTGACACCAACACCACACCGTGCTCAAGGGCACGAGTTTGATTCCTGACCACGCCAGCAGTTTCAGGGGGACAAAATACAAGGCCACTCTGGTGGATAGAAAATAACCAGGAGACCCCTGTTAGGGGTATGCCTCACAATCACTTGGTAGTTTTCACACATGAAATAAGAGACATTACAAATATATAATTTTCATTCATTGTTGCTTCAAGGCCCATCAAGTAGATCGTATTCTCAGACCTCATCAGCAACAGAGAAACAGAGGATAGTAAAGTTTTGAAACAATGTTTTTTGTTTTTGGCTCAAGGCCCTCTGTGAAAATAGTTCTGTACAGATACTAAGTAGACTTTGCTCTTATTTGAACATAATTCCTTGCTTATATTAATTGTCTTAAGTAAAATTCTGATGAAAATTTCACTTACTGTGGACCAAAACTAAGTCAATACAATACATTTATTCTAATTTGCTACACTGCACTTTGTTGTAAGCTAATCATTGTAAGGTGTTCATTTGCCTGCACACAGGGGGGGGGGGGGGGTGTCAGGGGGGCACAATGTCAACCCTATACATTGACATGATATGGAGGGGGGGGGGGGGGGAGGTTGCTGCGATGAACCTTCGTCCCAACCCCCTGAGCATGCTTATAAAGGTGTTCACTTTTCACAAGAGCTCCTCGAATCATTCTAGTGTCTGCATGCCTGTATTTGAGAAATGCATTGTTATTACTATTTTCCACCATACAATGCACTCTTTGGCAAGGTGTGGCAGTTAGCTTTTTATTGATTGATTGATTTGTGGGGTTTGATATCCCAAAACCACCATATGATTATGAGAGACGCCGTAGTGGAGGGCTCCGGAAATTTCGACCACCTGGGGTTCTTTAACGTGCACCCAAATCTGAGTACACGGGCCTATAACATTTCCGTTTTCATCGGAAATGCAGCCGCCACAGCCGGGATTTGATCCCGCGACCTGCGGGTCAGCAGCCGAGTACCTTAGCCACTAGACCACCGTGGCGGGCCGTTAGCTTTTTATTGTCTGTGTCCCCATCTGCAACATTCTTTGAGGAAATTGTCAGTTTGTTTAGAAAAGTCCCGATTCCCTATAAACTTTAAGTTGGTTGTATGCACTTGTCAATGTCTTGTACCCATCTGTAGTAACGTCCTTGTACTTCGAGTGTCACTTATGTGTGTTTTGGCTATTCTGTAGTTCACTACTGGCATACTAGATCATCTATTCACAGATTTTGCTCGGCCTGCTAGGTTTATTAATCAGGGTATATGTGTATAAGGCCTTTTTTTGGTGTCAACAGTTGTAAAGTGTTGGCATATGAGTAGAGATGGGGTGGAACACTGGGCACGTGCCTTTCCTTAAATTTATGCCTACTGTCTGCTTGCCAGCCTGAAATTATACAGCAGCTTTTAGGTGTAAGATACGTCACCTCACCAAAAAAAAAAAAAAAAAAACCTGGATGCCATTGCATGTCCTGTTTAGTAGGTTCAAAATTGAATTAGTGAGCAGATTCGAATGACATGCAATTGTCTTTATTGGCAATAACATAGAACAATTGAAGTAACTACATTCAAGTCCAGCGAAGTTGAATTCGGGCAGGCCTTAGCCCCTGTCTAAGCATGAAAGAAGGCGTCTTTTTTTTTTAATTTTTGTAGGTAGGCACATGCATGAAACTGGAGGCTCGAGGTCATTTCTTTGAATCCGTGAAGTATTCAATAACTTGACACACTTTCTCGGCATATCTGATACGAAAAAATGCCTAACCGGGCGTCGCAAGAAAGTGGAATACAGGAAAAGCGGGCGCCAGTTTTCGTTTTTATTCACCTTGCGCTAACGACGGCCGTAGCAGGCTAAACTGGAGCAGGGAGTTTATGTATATTGCCAGAACTTGGCACACGTTTGCGGGCTGCCTTGAGCGGTGATCATTTTATTTTGTGCTCCCTTTGGAGCACCTTTTGCAATATCCAACCATATTATAGAACCATGGACACTGTTTTGCGCGACAAGAATACTGTTAGATGGCGACAGTTTTCTGACAGAGCTAACCTCCAAGCGACAATAATTTGATATTTGAGTTATGCGCATTGAGGACAACGTCAACGCTGGGTCAGCGCAATTTCTTACAGGAACCACCCGGCGAGTCGGCTATGCAGCGATATGGATCTCTGGCACGGCAAAAAAACTTGGCAAGTATCGCAGTGCAGGAGCGTTGGGCGCTCTCGACTCGTTCGTTCAGTTTCGTCTCCGACCCAAGGCTGATCGGTGCTCGGTGGGCTCGCAAAAAGAGGTGGCATGGTGCTCGCGCTACTTGACAGTGCAGTTAAACGACTCGTTTGGTCTCAAATGAAGCACAGAGACCGTGCTTTCTAGAATCGTGCCGTCTTCTTGCAAGAAAAATGTCGTCTGCTACAGAATGTCACGTGACTGTAGCGGCGGGAACCAGCGATGACGTCAACGAGAGCACAGATGAGTACGTGGCATTTTTGACACGTCTTAAGAACCATAAAAAAACAACCTTAAACTACCAAGTTTAAACGTGGTTAACTGTTTTTTTTAATAGATAAAGCTGGCTTAGTCTCGTTTATTAAAAGAATGTATCTCTTCATGCTAGCCGCAAAGGATGTTACGTCATCGGAAGTACGCCATGACTTTACACGGAGAGTTTTGTTGTTGACGAGAAGAATACGAGGATAGGTAGGTGCAGTAAATTTAATTTGCCTCCGAAAACGGTCGCGCAATTTCGTCGCTCGTGAGCGGACACGTAGCTCGAGGGAAACGCTGCGCCATGTCGGCTACAAGGAATTGTCCGGCACGTCGCGCCGAGCTGTGAAGGAACGCCGTTCCTTGTGGTTGGAAAGCACGCTTGTTTTGCTGGCAGTGAAAGTATAGTAGCGATTCGCCCTACCCGAAAAGAAGCCCGTGCTCTGCGAGGGAAACTTCGAGGTAAGATGCAATTTGTGCCCGGGGTCTGCATGTTGATTGTGTAGGCATATACGGTAAGAACGCTTTTTTTTTTTTTCTTGCGACAGCAGCTGCCGAGAAACGAAAACGAGCTCTTTGCGACCTCCCCCACAGCGACGCTTCACCCCCCTCTCGATCGTGTAGAAAGATCGCTGTCGTGCGTCATATGATATAATTCCCTCCGTGAAAGAACGACAAAAACGAGAGACCTTGAACGGGTCGCATCGGCCTCGACGGTCGTTACGTGATTGACTCGATCGCCGTAGTACAAGCGGATTCGATTCCCACCATAGTTGACGAGCGGGCTAGAGGGGCCCGCGCTGATCGCCCCGATTCTTTTCGGCACACAACCTACATTTCTCTCTTTTATTTTTTTCTCTCTTGTATCTTTCTCACTCCCGGATGGTGAGCACGTGTGCCCATTTCCGACTTTTACTTCCTGTGAGTGTTATATAGAAACAGCTTGGCGCGCCTCAGGTGTCTGTGCGCTCCGTTGCGGTGCGTGCGGCTAGGTACCGAGGAAAGTAAAACAGTAAAAACAAACAAAAAAGCACCTGGACGACGACGAATGGTCTCGTTAGGGTGGCTAGTCCCGTTTACGGCCCCCGACCCTTATCACTACTCCTTGGCCTGACAAACACGTATGTATAAGTGTGCGAGTGTTGTGCGGTACTACAATGCCTAGAATCTACTGCAGTGGTACGCGGCCCACTTCGCTAACCGAAACGCTAAACGGGGAATGCATGTTTTAACTGGGGGGGAAACGCAGCGCGAAAAGACGCCAAGACCCGGGAAACGCGGTGCACCGTACTGTGCCCTACCTATGCACCTTGCTTCGTCTTTTCGCGCTGCGTTTCCCCAGCCGAGCATGTGCCAACTCGTCCAAATCAGTCTTGAACGGAATCAAGTCCTCCTGGACAGTTTTGCGCACCGCCGCCCAGTCGCGCGACCTTCTGCGACGAATGCTTGTATGTCGCGTTCGTAAACTTCGATTAGACGACCCCCCCCCCCCCCCACCTTTTTTTATATTCCCACTCTGAAGGAATGTAGCACGTATACGTGGTTAGTTCAACAATCGCTTGACTGCGGCACCCCTGGCGAGAAACAACAAAACAAAGCGAGACCACGGTGGAAAGCTGTTCGACCGCGTCTACGTGCAGGCGGCGCAGACGTTGTTGCTTCTGCAGCCAACAACTGCCTGGTGGAGGACGTTTGCTGGCTCGGCGCGCGTGCACGTAAAGACGGGAAGTTCGACCTTGCCGGCGCCGTCCGACGACGTGGGTTCGGGACTGTCGAAATCCGGGGCCTGCTTGAAATGTCGATACCCCGCGTACCTGTTTCCGTCATCTTCGCCTTGTTATTAATTGCACTAACTACGGGGCGTCTCCCCCCTCCCCCTATTTTTTTTTTGTTCTTAAAGTGTCAGAGGTTGTGCTGTGGATTAGTCCCTAACCACCAACTGCACCTCTGTTTTTTTTTTTTTTTTTCGGACGTGCTGATCCTGCCAACTATGACCTTTAGTTAGGCAAATAGTAGTCGGCTGTCAAAAGTCAAGCAAACCTAAGCGCTAGCCACGTATCGGATAGTCGGCTGTAAGGACAAAAACAACAAGAGAGAAGGCAGGGAGTGGGCCTTAGAATTATGAATTGAATTGAAGTTTATTTCTTTCCGATACAGAAAGAGGAGTAAGAGCTAAAGGTCGTATTGCCTGACAGAGGCTCCTACTCCCATGCGAAGCTTGAACAGACCAAAGTACTAGCCAGGTATGGATGTAGTAACTTATGTCGGTGTGTCCCATGAGCACAAATCGTAACACCAACCACATATGGATGTTGTAACTCGCGTATGTCACATGAGCAACAGAACGATGGCATTCTGGAAGCAGCTGCCGCACGTCCACATGTAAATTTGCTAGATGCAGCGAGAGTCTGAGTTGTGTAGTAACATTGCTTTGATTACGTTAGCTCTTTTAGACGAGAGAGACTGCATTGTTGCTGGTTTGGGAGCATCTATGAAGCATATTTGTTAGGCACACGCAAGATGCTGAAAGACTTGAGCTGTATAGAGTTTAATTAATAAAAATTACCTGTGCCCTGAATGCATATGCAAGCTTGCTTATGCAACCATGGTATGTTTACCCACAAGTCAGTGCCAGTACGTGCCCCTCTATATACATAAATCTTTCTACACAATACACATGGTCTTATTTAACTCCATTGTGCTGGTTGAAGGTGAAAAACCTGGAGGCACTGTGCCGACCAAAGTAAGTTTGATTGTGCTGAGTGTAATGTGCTGTACTGCTGAGTGTAATGGGAACATGCACCGCTGTGTTTTAAAATAACACAGACTTGTGAATCGAACGTGCTCAGCAAAAAAAAAAAAAAAAAAAAATCTTGAGCCATAGTTTTGCGGAAGGTGTGTTCTCGTTAGGGTGTGCGGCCCTGTAACACAAGAGGTCTAAAATAATGTTTTCCTTTGTGCACAATAAGAACACCACCACAGGGATGCTGCTACTCACAACTTGACTTTACAGACAAGTGCCTTCTCCTGTCTCAATTTCTTGCACTGTCTTTTTGCACTATAAAAGAATGTTATTGCTACTAACTTGCCCATCAGTGTTGCTGCAAATCTGTTGCCTGTCCGTGTCTGTAAGCATGCATCATACATGACTGTGTTTCCACTTAGACACTGCTTGTGACCTACTATATAAATCCAAAACTTATACTAGAACAAATGTAAGCACTGTAGATCTCGCGTTACATGTAACTAAAATAAAATGGAGTCACACTGGTTGCCATTAATTGCAAACAACTGGGCTGCTTCAGACAAGTGCACTGGATCTGCATATTTTCTTTAGACAAAATGAACATGTACAATATTTTTGAAGTTCAACGAGGTTAGCATAATGCTAACCTCGCTAAGTGTATTATTACTGAAAAATCAGGTAAAGGCCACTGCATAAATTGAAAACTGCTAATTGGTTTCGTATTGGTTTCTGTCTTTCATATTCAGTTTTACTTCTCTGTCTTAGTTTCAGAATAAGTTGGCCGCCGAGTATGGCAGCAGAAGGCCGGGTCAAATTTGTCTAAGGTAGCTATTGCTACCAATGAAACATGTCATGACGACATTAAAGCCCATAATTTAGTATCTTTAATTATTAACTAGCTGATGCCTGCATACCCTATCGTTGTAGAACGGCCGTGCAGTTTTCTTTAAGAATTAAGTTAAACGGTGATGGTGTCAAGTTTAGTGCATGCACTTGTCAAGAAAAATTTCGTGGGATATGCATATCTGGGCAGTTTTTTAGGTCTGAAAAGAATTGTTTCATGGACTCATTCAGCTCAATATCTTGTTGATTTTTCAAAACATGTTCAAAACTATCAATGTGCCAAGCTGTAAGGCCACTTGAAACCAAAATTACATATTGTAGACTATTCATTGTGCTAAACTCGTCACACTCTTACTGGCTGGGAAACTGCAGCCAATATAAGCATGCATCTATCCCTTGTGGTACCTCCTACATTGTTCGTTTCTGAACATTAATGGCCACAAATCAGGCAGTCAATCAATCAACCGGTCTCTATTGACCTGTTCAGTGGGTAACAATATGCTGTTGCCTATGTGCCGCACTGCGAGGATGCAAGCCGAGCACTGGGGTTTCTGTCGAGGGCACTTCAGTTTGCAACAAGAATGTTATCTGGCCATGATAATGTAAGGAGGGTTGAATAGCCTATTCACTTATTTTTCCAATTCGACTAGTTAAAAAGGTGCTTGTTTTTTTGTCTGAACTTCTTTTAAAGTTCAGCATCCGCTCCCCGGAATTCCTCTAAATATAGTTGTCAGGATGTGCATCAGCACTGTGGCAGCACAATCTGGCAATATGGTAGTGCTGAAGCCTTGCCGCCTGTTTACTCTGCAGGCGAAGGGACAAAAGCCTGGCTCGTGAGGTAGCTTGGGCTTATCCCAGACTGCATCAGTAGCAATATTTGCTTCTTTTGTGTGGCTTCTCAGCTTCTATTTCTAGTCTATGGCAACAGTGGGTGGGAGATAGCACAGCCACTGGTAAAATCAGTCATATTTGTGAAGCTGTCATGCTTGTCAGTTGTACAGGAGCATTGCAGAGGTGTTGAAATGTCAGTCTTTCTTTATTTTCCTCACTGCCACTACCTCTTTGTCTTCACATGTTATTCTGTATCATGGACGGAAGATGTCCAGTATTTTGACTAAGGCTATGGTACATCTGTATGAGACGACGGAAAAAAAAAAAGAATGTTGGTATGTGTTCATGTTGAAGATGTGCGAGCCTTACAGATGAGCACAGAGAAGGGAAAATGTCACGCAATCTCTGATAGTTCGAAAAAAGGGGAAAATCGCTCAAGGGGCATATTTTTTTCTTTCGGAGACTTAATTGGTAGAGCATTGGGTGCATAATTCGAAGGTTTTGGGTTTAGATCCCACATGGGAAAGAGTGATGTTTTGTCCACTTTAATCCATTTCATTGTATGTCAAAATCGCTACACTGCAATTAAAGAAAAGAAACAAGTAATGTCCTTTTGCTTTTCTTGGCTTATTTGTCTGCTGGTATCTCAAGCACTGATAGTTGGTATGCGTATACTGAAACTCCCTTGCATGTGGCAGTATTGGTAGTTAAGTGCAGCTTGTTCTACCTCATTTTTCCTGTGGTTAGATTATCTCTGAGCGCTACTTGAGTCTTGGCTGTTGTGTCATTCAAGCTTTGTGACCTATTTGTGCAGGGGCATGGTGGTGACTTCGGAGAACCCGAAAGGGGCGTCGGCCTCTTTGAGCAACGACGAAGGCGGCAGCACGAGCGGCCAGCAGGATGGCAGCTTCGAGTGCAACATCTGCCTAGACACGGCCAAGGATGCCGTAGTCAGTCTCTGTGGCCACCTGTTCTGGTAAGTGCCTGTTTGCACAAAGTGCCAAATTCCTATGAACCTGTACATGTTGTTTGTGTGAAATGTCATCTTATTAATCTTCGGAGATGTCGAACTTTTCAGGTGTATGCAGCCATTACAGGCGGGCGCTGTCCTCTCAACAGGGGGGGGGGGGGGGCAGTCGCCTGAAGTTACACGGGAGAGGGGGCGTGGTCATGACTTTGTTTGTACTAGGAGAAAAACCTCTTTGCAGCGTAAATACTTTTAATGTGTGCCCATAGTGGTTTCACTAATTTGTCCTAATTGGTGATAGGAGGTAGACTAGATGCAATAAAGTGAGGTGGGTGGGGGTGCTGACAAAGAGTTTAAGGAGGGACGATCGCCCCTACTGCCCCCCTTTTGAATCTGCCACTGCACTCTGCAGTAAAAGTTTGCAGGCTACAAAATATTCAAGGAAGTTATTGTCACTTTGTATGGAAACGTATCCTCCAAATAAATGATCCAGGCTGTAGTTGGCATTACAACCTATGCAGTCGCCAGCTGTATTAGAAGCTGAAGAATACAGCAGCGCTTAAGGGCGAGGCTAGATGAAGACACAGACACACAAAAAGACCTCTATGTCTTCATCTTGTCCCATCTCATGCACTGTCTTATTCTTAATCTATTATGCACCAACAATCCAATCAAGCAGAAGAGTCGCATCCTAATAGAGCAGGAGTTTCCAGTTGTTGTAGAGCCAACATCCTGTAAACATTTGCTGTTGGGTGTGCTTGTCACAAATGCACGTGTGTAGTTTAGTTCAATGTCACGATTTTCGTGAGGGAGTGTTCTGAGCAGCAACACAGCAGAGGAGAATGTTTTTGTGAAGTTTAACTAAGCAATTCCTTGCCAAACGTCATCGATCAACATTTGGTGTCGGGCAGTGATGGCCCATACATTTGGAGGAGAAAGACCATCGCAATATTTTCATGTGCCTGCAGTAGTATTGGGAAGTTGGCATAAGTGGAATGCAATGTCAATGTCACGTCCTATAAAAGCCATCTACAAGTTTCAATCGAAGAGTTGTGATTGACTTAGAATAAAGTACTCTTCTAAATAGCGTGAGCGGAGGCTGTGAGGTTCATCATCTTCACCTGCGCACACAAATTATTGTAATCATCACCATGTCTGTGTCGAAAATACAACGGTCGCTCCTGCGTACCTAACGTCGTCTCACAATATATATATATCTAGTTTCTCGCCTGATGATAGTTTCCTATAGGTATTTTTTAATGGGCATTCTCGCGTCTTGTTGAAAAAGGTAATTGGAGAGAGCATCTGCAAAGTTTTCCCACGATGCAGTGAACGTGCAGTCTCCGTGGCGCTGACTACTTGGTTCACCAGGTTCGCCTGTACAGCTGCAGTACAGAGTGCTTCATTACACTACAATCACACCGCAGAGTTGCGGATAACTAAGCATTAGAATCATTGCTTCTTTTTCGAGTTGCCACCTATGCATAAAAATTTTTAGATATCCAAGGAAGTAGGAGCCTTGCTGAATTGCATTAGGTAAATGCTGCTCATCACCTAAGAAGTAGCGGAAATACAGGTTACATTGATTACATAGTCTCTGCAAGAAAAAAACTGAGCTAGAGGCTCTTTTTTAATTGTAGTTTTCTGTATTCGTTTGCAAATGAGGCTTAGTAATTAATGATGATGATGGCTATGCATTTTCACAGAGAATTAAATTAAGATTATCATATTAGAGCATGCAGCAAAGGCATGGAAAATCAAAGCACGAAATCAGCCAGAACGAGTGAACAAGGTTATCTTGTACTGCAAGATATGAAGGGTCATATAGTACACACTAATAGAGATATCAGGCTTTCCAATCTGTGGCATTCTAGACAGCTCACAAAAGCCCAACACGGTTCTGTAATTGTACGGACACTTTGATAAACAAAACACACAAATAATATGTTAGATATGTGCATACAGGCCTTGAAGATTAGTATCATTCTCCAATCAGATAAAGTCTTCTTACATGTAGCCTGAGGCATCAGATAATATGCGCATGTAGTTACTAGCAGCAAACGCAAGCTGTACTTCACAAAACTGGCATAGGTGAGAATAAGTACACAAGATAATGTACCGTGCCCTGCGCAGTGTCACTAAGCACTTTCACTATCTGCATAGACAATAAGACCTCATTGTGACAGGTAGCACATGGATGTGCATAAAGGGTAGCAACACTATTAAACACTGGTTAAGCGATTCGGATCGATTTATTGATTGACTTGCCAGACCAATGTTGGTACTGTGAGAGATGCTGTGACCTTTTGTGATTGTCCAATGTAAACTGGAACCGGAGGACAAGAGAATTTATGCCCTCATTGAAATATAGCTGCCATAACAGGAAGCTGAACACACAACCATGATAGTCTGCTAGCCTCTGAGCCATTGTTGCAGGCCACTTTTTATGTTTTTATCTGCCTTGGAGGCTTGTATGCATTTTCAGTACAGCATGAGGCTTATGCAACATTGCAGTGAGACATTGGCACATAGGCACTCCTGTTCTGCATTGTGGTCAAGACAGTTGTGTTCCAACTTTTGCTACTCAACACACTCTTTTTGTGGTGAAATTCAAGAGTGAAATGAGATTGGTACTTGAATAGAGAAGATGGTCATGAACCCCCTCCCCACCCAAGTTTAAATTGCTGGCAGAGTGGAGGGGGGGTGCAATCTCGGAAAGTCACTGAAATTCAAGAATGCAGCAAAATTTTCGTGCCAGAAATTAAAATTTCATTACAGTGAACTATGTTACAATAAGCAGGGCCCAGGATTTGTAGCCTTTAATCGCTTTCAACACCAAAAGACTCCTCCGACTCAGTTGCAAAAAAGATGTCGCAGCATTTCACAAGCAGCTAGATAAACCACGAAGTCATGCCGAGAACATCCAGTGTTCGCACAATCCATATGGTGTCCATATGGTGTCCTGTTGGCGGGGTGGTCTTTTTGCACCATCTTCTGATCCCTATGGCCATGTTACACAAGGTAAAACAATTCCGCTGTCACAGTAAGCTCGTGCAAGATCGAAAGGCACTTGTTGCCTCAGAAAATTCCTTCGGCGTTTTCTCGGCAACCTCAGAATCATTCGCACGCATGCTGCTACCTCCGTGCCATCCGATGTGCCTTTGACATCCTGTAAGCAAGCTCTTGCCCGTTCCGACATTCCATAAGGTTCGTATCTTTAAAATCGTGTTTCTGTCTATCGATTCGCAGCTGGCCGTGCCTGCATCAGTGGCTGGAGACACGGCCGAACCGCCAGGTGTGTCCAGTCTGCAAGGCAGGCATCAGCCGAGACAAGGTGATTCCCCTTTACGGCAGGGGTGGCTCCAAACAGGACCCCAGGTGAGTATGAGTGCAATGGCTTTAAAGGGATGCTAAAGTGAAACAGTGAGTTGGTTTCAGGTTGATGAACTGTTCTCTGAGAACTTCAACGTTGTTAATTTCACCATCGTAGGTTTGTGAATAGAAAAAAAAAAGAGTCAAACATTCATTTTTAATATTGATGCTCAAATATCCACGCATGACCTCACGGATTTCAAGGTGTGTTTTTGGTATTTTGCTGACATTCACTTGACGAAATTCCCTGAAACTTAGTATGGTAAGCCTTCATTTTCATAGATTCATTTTTACTGATTAGGAACTACATAGCCCCAAGCAGGTGCCGTCAAAATCTATCGCATCATTGCAGCTGGTGTGGCAACTTTAAGGTGACATTGCCACCTGCATTTTATCGCACCGCTTGCTCTCATTTACCAAGGGTCTTGCCACAGCAAGCATGGCGTTCTTGGTTTTGAGAAGGATTAATTTACTAAAGTGAGAAATATCGTATGAGAAAATAGACCGCCATCTTAGAATATGAGAAAATAGACCACATTGCAGATATTCTAGTGTCAATGTAAATGGTTGTGAGTGTGAAATTGAGGGAGTGCAAATCGAGCTCGGGACTTCTGCGTGACAGTTGTGTGTTTGAACAGTGTCTTACTCTGCCAGTGTTTATGAAAGAGTCTTGTCAGAGGGGTAACCTTTACCATGCGTCACACCATCCGAATTGTGTAATGAGTTTGTGGTTTTTCAATAGAAAGCATGCTGTCATAAGTCATCCATCATTGTTGGCAACAGCATAAAAGCGTGCAGCTGTGCGTATTGTTTTATATTGCATAGTGGGTACTTTGCTGATGCAAAATCTTATGAATTATGGTAAAGTGGGCACTTAGCAACTGCACTTGCCGTAGGCATTCTAGGATAATTTCGAACAGTCAGCGTTAGCAGAGGCATCCCTTGTGGTATCAATTGAGAAACGAAGCCTGGCAAGGGAATAAGAAGACAATGCGAATAGGGCCTGATCACGATATTGCGTTCTCTTGAAGGATCTCAGTAGACTAAGACTTTTTCCTTTTGACTTCAGTGTACGCTATGAACTCGTGTACCAGTCCTTACTGCACAGCCATAAGGGTCCAAAATGCGCTGCTCAACAAAGAAGCTTGAGAGAAGTGCTGAGGACCACAGCACGAGCAATGGAAACAAAAGTGACGGACATCGCATTTTTGGTCAAGCTTCACGTAAGGAATGAAAGCTGATGTAGTTGATACTTAAGGGACAATTGAACTCAGCTTGGCAGGCAATCTAGTTTATTAGGAAGACAAATGGATATTCCTTCTTCTGCACCTCTTGGCTCGATTTCGTCATCATTACTGTCATTCCAGGGTACCTGCATGGATACCATCTCACTTTGACATGGGTACCTACCGGATGCATTGTACATAATCTTGAGCATACATTTGGGATAGAGTACTGCTGCTCTAAACGTGTTTGAATAACCGTATGGGTTCCAAGGAAATGGCGCTGCTGAGGATATGGGTATTTAAATTCCATGAAAGCAGGTAATTTGAGGCCTTAGGATGATGTTAGTCCGATAGTCGTGAAAGGCTTTCGGGTAGTAGTGGATGGGGGTTGGTGGCAATTGTGAAGCTGGGCCTGCTGCCTGCTAGAGGAGCTGTCTCTTCACGATGGCTGCAATTCTGGCGCTGAAAAGTTTAACACGGAAATCATTTTGTCTTCTTTTAATGCTGAGAGAAGTCTACAGCTTGTGTTTTTCTTTTTGGGTTTTTAGCTCAGCACTCATGTTAAAATTTTTCTTTCTTGCTCTTGCTAATCGCAGGGAGAAGTTGCCACCTCGACCACCGGGACAGAGATCCGAACCAGAAAGTCACCCAGGGGTAAGAATTATGGCAGCTTCTGAGAGTGTTCCTGTAGTTAAACGTGTTCTCTTGACATCACCGTAGGTCAAACTACACTATTGCATTGTGACAATCTTTGCGAAAGCATTATAGGGCACTTAAATCAGACTATTGATGTACCTGAATATTACTGTGAGAGAACAAATTTGAAGGAATGCACCTGTAGGTAGGTCCTCGCATGTTGCACAATGTACTGATGGCATTGTTTCCTTTGCAGCCTTTCACCTCCTTTGGCTTTGGAGACACTGGCTTTCACATGTCATTTGGAATCGGTGCCTTTCCCTTCGGCCTGTTTGCTTCCACCTTCAACTTCGGCGACGGCCGTCCTCCACCGAGTAAGTATAGTCGTGCTCGGTCTTGCTTCCGTTTGCTTCATCACATTGTGATCGATTAGTATTTCGTCACTATTCCGTCACCGAGGCTTTCTAACTCTGTGCAATGAAAGTGCAGATCAGCGATTCTCATTTCAAGTTATTTTTGTGGCATCCCAGCAGCCATGGGCAGCCAAGAGCACCGCCAAGACCAGATCGTGTCCCAGGTGTTCCTCTGGGTGGCCTGCATTTTCCTTGTGTGGCTGATCATCGCGTGATTGGTTTACGCCACCACGAAACGTCAGCTGCGCCGTTCCCAGCCAAAAGAGTCTTGGTGGTAGGGGAAACGATGCTTCCGTACCGTTTCTCTCACTGGACTGGTCTCCTCGGAGTCTGTGGCGGTCGGAAAATTATCACATCTGTTTCAACGAAGGCCTTCTCCCTCTCTCCTTCAGAGGTTTTCTTTTTTTCCCCCGCCACCTTTTCCTCCGTTCCCCTTTTGTATGTCATGTTGCCGTTAAAAAGTGCTTGCGACGGGGCTACCTGCTAGACAGTAGTGGTGCTCTGGGCATCGAAGACGGGACGTTATGTCGCCGTTGTCGGAAAGCGAGCCGGCGGGCACGAGCGCGCTGCTTTTTGGGCAACGAACGTGGTCTCGACTGTCACTCTCTTCCCTAAATGTCTGTTGGCAAACGAGCCCCTCGCGAAGACTGCACGCGCACAAACCAGAAATACAATTGTTGTGCCTGGGGTGTAACGAAGGGGCGGGCGCAGTACTGGTGTAATTGCGACTGTGGCGCTCTCGATTTGTGTCAAACTTTGTTTTCTTAGTGCAGAGTGACCGCTTTTGAAAATACGGAATAGCAGCTTTAACGATCAAGAGATGGTGTGTAATGTGTGCCTGATGTGATTTCAATGTGTGTGTTTCTGTTCTTCCTTCTTTAGACTTGCCCTAATGACAAGTAGCAGTTGGCTAGACTGCATTGTTTACTCTTCTTTATTTTATTCAAGTTCTGGATGATAAGAGACTGCTCATAGTTTTATTTCATTTCTTGTTCTGTTTTTTTCTGGGACATTTTTGCACCTGCTGCCGACATTCCTTCCCACCTGTGGCAGAGGCCTAGGTCTTTCAGGCTTTTGTGCCATTCTACAATAGCCACAGTTCTGGCCACTGTGCGTCGTTACCAGACACTGCGACACATCGAGACAGTTGCATTGGAATTAATATTTTGTAATAAATGTGTATACACGGAGTGGAAGTTCGTGCTGCACTGCTTTTACAGTGCAGTTTTTTTGTCTCTCGTCTTTCCAGTCGTACTTGTCAACTGTATGTAAATAAATGGCCCTGTTGTGAGGTACTTGGCGAGATGGAGTATATTTACAGCAGAAAAAAAAAAAAAATTTTAAGTCTTGCAGCCATGGGCCTTGTCAGTCATTGGTTTCCAGGATTAGACATTGTTAGATATTGAATGGTTCGAGTTTTACATATTTTTTCGTTCTTTGGGAAATAAAGAAACAAAGACCACACTGTTTTTCTCCTCTCTTATAACGTGCTACTGGTGCAGCAGATCGTATCTGTAGTAATTTTGGATTTACAGCACACGGTGGTACGTTTTGGAATACATAGACAAGCAATGTGATACGTACCAGATTGCGCTACTGTCACTGCAAGGGAAATAGTAGCAAGATCACTCCTTTTTTGCAGAAATCTCTCCCTGTCCAACAGAGTGACCTCAGCTGTGCGATACTTGTGCTTAAAATGGTGCAATGCATTGAGCCATATAAAGCATGAGCTGTTGAGGTGGCGATGTGAAAGCCTCTTAAGAAGGGTGAAGTAAAGCTGCGATCCAAGCTGGGACCTCTGGCTCCACTATGGAAGGAGAATATCCCCTTCTGAACCTAATATTGGCCAATCTGAGAGGCTGCAATCGTGCTCAAAGTTGATCGAACTCAATTTCGTGAATTTAGACCATTGGAATTTACAATACAGACAGGAAGAATTTACATCCATTGAAAAAGTGGAGGGGGGTGTGCCTTCTACCCAAAGATAAGTTATCTTTGTTGCTTGTTTCCTTTTTGAGAAAAGAGAGTGTTGCATTTCCCATCAAGGCTGTCGCGTCCCGTTAATGAAGACTGGTGTTGGGAATACCATGTCAAAGTGATACGAGCAGTATGATGGCAGTTGTAGTTGGACTTAACCCCATATTCACAAACGCTCCTCGACTCAACTTTTACCCTTCACTTGACAGAGTTGAGCACCGCGCTGCTGCTCAGCTGAAAGTGACGCTGTGCTACTCAAGAAACGCAGCAGACTATTGCTGATACGCTGTGACTTTCCATGCCTAGAGATTGCGCTCCCATCGGCCTTCTCAAGTGATGGTGAAGCGTTAAGTGGAGGGACGTTCTAGAATATGGGGGTAAAGCCTGGAATGTTGTCTCACAGAATGCACCTTATCAGGGTGATTGTCGAAAAAGAGACTGTGAGTAACAAAATGTGTCTTGGATGCCATTACGAATAGACATTTTCAATTTATTGAGCGTAAGTCGCCTTTAGGCTGCCAAGCTACATCCCGGCTCTCGCCTCCCTTGGCCCTAGGAATGTTAAAAATATAGTTCCGAGTGCCTCTCTCCGTTTACCCTATAGCCGCAGCCGCAGCTCTGTGGTTCCGGTGCTTGGCTGCCAATGCAGAAGATATGGCGAACTGGGTTCAATCCTGGCAGCTGTAGTCTCAACATAGAGCCGTGAAGTGAGGTGAAGAATTTACCATCATGCAATGTCTGTAGGCTTGTGCGAATATTCGAGTGAATAGTTGAGTATTTGAATTCGCTTTGATTCGAATTTCAATTATCCAATATTTTCAAAGTATTTGCAATGAACGAATAGGTGTATACTAATCCGTGTGTCACCGCCTGAAAAGATAGTTTCACTGCAATGTAGGAGTGCTAGGCCGTGAGAACACTTTCAGATTTAAAGCCCCCCTTCAGATTTAAAGGGGCTCTGCAACACTTATTGAACATGGTCGGAAAACACTGCCGATCGGTAATCGAGGCTACCAAGGATACACGAGGCAAACAGCATAGCGCAGCACGCGGCCTGTAATTCACAATAAATTTTCAAAGCTAAAAGTTTCTTCCCTCGCAAATGGCTTTCTTCCCTCGCCAAATGACACTACAAGCTCAAAAATAACTTGTCACAGCCATTTATTCACTTATTCGTATTACTACAAAGGTTCCACATTACATGGAAGTGGCGTTGAGGTGCCGACCAGTGCGGACGCGCGAAGATCGGCTCCTGCTTTCAAGAATGCTTTCCTGTGGTATTCACGAATTTGTCGCCGAGTTTTTACTCTCATCGTGTGCCTAAGTTCTCAAGAGGTCAGCAGATACCACCTTTGCGCCGGTGAGTGGACTTTTAAACCGTTTTTTGGGACATTTTTAAACGGCAACGCCACCGGGGGATTTAGGCCTAACCAAGGAGGCGATTTTCGCCGATGCGCCAGCCCGGCGCCAACGCGACTCAACGCTCTGCGCGTTCCAGTATCTGCAACTGAGAATGGAATACCAAGTAGATGGAGAGGACATCTCTCCAGAGGATTGCACGGAAGAAATGGGTTGGAAGGAAGCCGAAACGAGACGCTCAAGGAATAAGCAAGCCGTGATTAGCGTTCCTGCTGCCAAGGGTTCAACCGAGGCCGGCGTTGCGGGAGACGCTCGAGCCAGTCGTAGTAGGTATGACACCAAGCATACAATTTTGCGAGCTGGACGCATGCCGCCACTACCTAAGGACTTCAGCAAAATTGTGCTACGACCACGTGGAGGATTAAATATCTCGAGAATTGGCACTGGAGCCGTGGCAGACGCGATAGTACTGGCGGCCGGCGTCAAAGAGGAAGAGGCCATGCAGGACATCATCTGTTCCAACTTGCAGCAGAACATTATGGTGGCAAGCACTCCGGACCAAGACAGAGCTTCAAGATACCTCAAGGTCAAGCAAATTGACATTGGAGGCAAAGTTTTCGAGGTTAGCGCGTACGCCGCGGCACCCCACGACACTTGTAAAGGAGTGATTTGCGGGATCCCCGTAAGCGATACTCGGGACATTTTGAACCGAAAGATTGTGAACACGAACAACCCGCTCGCGCTGCAGGCGAAGAGAATCAAGGACACCGGGACAATCATCATAGCGTTCGAAGGACACAAGGTGCCCCGATTCGTGAGATATGGACCTTCACTTTTGCAGTGCTCCCTTTACCCCAAGAACATCGATATTTGTTACGTCTGTGGAAAGCTGGGACATCGGTCTGACGTCTGTCCGAACCCAGCTGAAACAATCTGCAGAGGCTGCGAGATCAAGAACCCAGATAGCCTGCACCAGTGCAATCCAAGATGCAGGCTGTGCGACGGTCACCATCCCACGGCAGACAAGGAGTGCAAGAACAGGTTCTTAGTGCCATACGTCGTCAGACGCAGACGTTGGGAAAGATCGCGAGCAGCCGTAGAAGCCCGGGACGCATCAATCACATCGAGTCCAGACATCAATGACAAGCAGCTTATTCCAGCCTACGGGACCCAGAGCATCCCGACTACACAAGAACAGGAAAGGCGGCCCCACTCCAGGGGGAGGTCGCGTTCCAGAAGAGGTTCTAGACCCAAGGCCCGCTCCCAATCACGGGGGCGCTCGAGTTCTCAAGGTCACCATCAGGGTCGGGATCAGCCTGGGCGGCACCCGAATGGCCAGCTGCCTGGCGTTCAGTTCGAGATCACGGCTTCACACCCGGGGAGGACGCCTGCGGTTACTTCGAAAGGCAGCTGGGCTGAGCGAGTGCGCAACGGCGGGGCAGAGGTGATGACAGGTAAGCTGCCAGAGCATGATAGAATTGCACAGCTAGAGCAAGAAAACGCGAGACTTACAAAATCGAATGAGAGGCTATCAGCTGAGTTAAAGGAAATAAAAATTCTTCTCACTAAGCTAACCAGCGCGCAATCTTCACAGCCAATGCCTCAGCCAGTTGATATCCCTGTGGCTGAAAACGTGGGGGACTCGAGAACCGCGAAAAAGAGGGCAGTCATGGCAGAACACGCGGAAGCCAACCAAACGACCATGTCAGATATGAAAGAGGTGTTTGACACGCTCAGCAAAGTAGTAGCCAATCTTAGCGAGCAGATGGGTAGGCTACAATCAAGCATGGCGGCACTGGAAGAGCATATGACTTTGCGCATTACAAAGCTCGAAGCAGATCTGCACAACACAGCAAGGCCTCCTCATGCACCAAGCTCACCCCTTCGGCCACCAATACTAGTGGTACCAAACCTGTCGACAGGTGCAGCATCAGGCTCTGGCCGCCCATGTAATAACCATGATGGCAGCGCTACGTGAAGCATTTCGTATCTGGCAATGTAACTGTAGAGGTTACCTTAAAAAGAAGGCAACCCTGCAGCAGTATATCAGGAGCAGCGAAGAAAAGCCTCATATTATATTATTACAAGAGACCCTTTCACCGCAAGCAACGTTGCCTGGATTCCGGCCTGTAATAGGGGATACTGAAGGGAGGGGAGTCTGCACCTTCGTATGCAACAAACTAACGCACGTAACCCACGACCTCAAGATAGAAGCAGGCCGGTTGGAACACGTCTTGGTAGAGATCGTGCCGGGTACCAGCAACCGTCAGAGCATTTTCATTCAGAATATATACAGCAGTCCAAAGGAACAAAAGCAAGGGTTCAAGACGGTTCTAAAGAAAGCTGTTAATATCGCCGGGGAATGTCCACTCGTCATAGCAGGTGATTTCAATGCCCCTCATCATACATGGGGTTACAAGTACAACACTGGGAAAGGAAATCGACTTTGGCATAAGCCAGTGAACTTGATCTCACCCTAATCACAGACCCCAGCCTCCCAACAAGGCTTGGTACATCTTGCTGCAGGGATTCCACCCCGGACCTTACATTTGTAAGGAACATCAAGAAGGCCCAGTGGATGAACCTTGCTGTAGACCTAGGGAGTGACCACTGTATTCTTGCCACTACCTTCTCCCTGGAGCGTAAAAAGCAGAGAGAATTTCACTTCACAGACTGGGATAAGTTCAGGAAGATAAGGATGGAAAGGGAACAAGATGGCCACAGACAAGGCTTGGAGCAGTGGGTCAAACAGATTAAAGATGACATCAAATCAGTCTCCTCCACTATTACCACAGATTTTCCGGTTGAAAGAATGGATAGCCGGCTCGCTCATCTTCTTGAGGCAAAGCAAGCACTACTGAACCGTTGGAAGGGTCAGCGCCTGAACTGAAGAGTGAGGAAGATAGCTGAGGTAAACAGATCAGTCGAGGAACATTGTCACGCACTATCGAGGCAGCAATGGGACGAAATCTGCAACTCCGTCGATGGTCAGATGTGCAATGGCAAGACATGGAATATGTTAAAGCATCTCCTCAACGAAAACACCACCAAAACAAATCAAAAGCATGTTATCGCTCGAATTTTGCATAAAGAGATAGGGCGCACTACAGAACAGCAAGTTGTCCAGC